TACGTCACGCTCACCGGCGCCTCGCCCTCCTGGCAGCGCCACCAGCACCGCGGGCGGCGGGCTGTGTGCGCGGCCGTCTGGGTCCTCTCGGCCCTCGTCCCGCTGCCCGAGGTGGTCCACATCCGGCTGGTGGACAGCTTTGAGCCCATGTGCCTCTTCATGGCGCCTTTCGAAACGTACAGCACGTGGGCGCTGGTGGTGTCCCTGTCCACCACCATCCTGGGCTTCCTGCTGCCCTTCCCTCTCATTGCCGTCTTCAACGTGCTGACGGCCTGCCGCCTGCGGCGGGCGGGGCGGCCCGAGGGCCGGCGCCACTGCCTGCTGTTGTGTGCCTACATAGCCGTCTTCGCCATCTGCTGGCTGCCCTACCATGTGACCCTGCTGCTGATCACACTGCACGGGACCCACATCTCCCTCCACTGCTACCTGGCCCACCTGCTCTACTTCTTCTACGACATCATCGACTGCTTCTCCATGCTCCACTGCGTCGTCAACCCCATCCTTTACAACTTTCTCAGCCCGGGCTTCCAGGATCGGCTGCTGAAAGCTGTGGTCCATTACCTTCCCAAGGCCCAGGCCAGGGAGGGCAGACGTGCCTCCACCTCCTCCTCCTCCTCCTCCTCCACCCAGCATTCCATCATCATCACCAAGGAAGGCATCCATCCCCCTGCAGCGGGCCCTCACCTCCACCCGAGCCTAAACTTCCAGGCACCAAATACCCCACCCACCTCCGCTCCTCAGTCTCTCATAGCCAGCTGAGGAGGATTCCAGTCTCCTCCACCAGCGAAGCAGAAAGCTGGAAGAGGAGGTGAGAGACTTTGGGGGAGCACGGGAGAGGGTCAGAGCACTCATGGCCGATTCTGAGTATATCTTAAAATACTGAGGTGGGGAGGTGGGGAGTTGGGGATGGGGAGAGGGGACAGGGAGGGACAGGGAGCAGGTCCTTGTGTTGTGATATTTGACGTGGCCCTGGTGTCTAAGGGAGACACGCAGGGGAAAGGGTGAAATAAAGATTAGAGACAGCCACGACTCTGGGTCTCTGAAAAAACCTTCCCTGCCAGCTGGGACTAGGAGGGGAGCTGAGGCTGAAGAGATGCTCAGCAGAAAGCAGACGCACTCATTTCAGAAATCACGCTGGCCGGAAAGAGTGCACTCTGCAGGAACCCCAGGCAGCTTTGCTTTTGTGTTCGTGCTTGTCGACCTCCCGGCACACCATGCAGGCTGTGGGGACAAGAGGCCAGAGGCCAAGGAACCAGGAGGCCTCAGGAGGCGTTTCCTAGCAGTGCATCCTCCCTGCGATGATAGATGGAGGGGCGGGGCCGGCAGAGGTGGGTAAAGCCGAGGTCAGTGTCTGAGACAGGCACCCTGCAGCTGGGTCAGCACGAGGATTCTCCACCCCCCACCACCACCATCCAGGAAGCAGCTCCATTTCCTTGCCGATGCTCTCCGTGACCCCCCTCCCACTAGAGCAGAGGAGCTGCCCCAGAGTCCACACTCAGAGCCCACCTTCCTCCAGCTCTGGGTCTAGGACATTTCCAGACCTCTACCCCTCATCCCTCCCTGTCTCTCCAGGTCAGAGGAAAACATCAAGGAACATCCATTCTGGGAGCAGACTTTGGGACAGGCAGCATCAGGCACTGCCGGTGCTCCATCTGTCAACCTTTGTCCTGTGCACAGGGTAGCGAAGGAGGCATCTTCTAATCCTGTCACAGGGCAGAGTTCTGGCATTCTTCTAAGTCAGTTCTCACCCACAGACTTCTTTCTTCCTGGACAAGTCTCATAATTTTCCTGTCCAACAACTCACTTCCATTAACACTTGTCATACAGACAGGAAAGTCAGTCCTCTTGCTAACACGCAAGTCTTCTGCAAAAGTCTCATTTATCAGTTTGGGGAACTAGGACCATGTCTGTGAAGCGCTCTGACTCCAGTAAGGCCTGAGAGTAGGTCCCAGCCCACCTGTTCTGAGTCCTCGGTCTCTCCATCCTGCCTGTGGAGAGAGAAGGGCTGGTGGACACGGTCTCTGAGACCCTCTGTCCTGCTCAAGTGCTCAGTATGTCTGGAATGTTTAACTTGGATTAGCTGCTCACTGACCTGGTGCGCGGTCTCCTCTGCTCTCAGAAATCTGAAACTGTTCACCAGATGCATTAAACATGTGCTCCAACACTACGTGCCCGTTTGTCAGGAGCACCGAGAAAAAAATCCATGTCTACTGCTCACTGGGCCCAAACCTGATAAAGGGTCTTAAGCTACAAACAGCTACTCAGTGGTATAGAGCTGAAGGCTGTTTCAATCAGGACAGTGATGTGGGGCTACAGCAAGAACTTAACTTACAATGCAGAAAATGTATTGGACTTTCCTCCCTTGTGTCCACATGAAAACCAAGCAAGTCAATGCCCACATCACTGCCTCCTCTGACTTGGGCTCCAGAAGCTCCCTGAAGGAAACCCAGCAGCACATATCACACCCCAGGTTACCTCAGAAGCCACTTTCCCTACAACTTCTCTTCTCCCAGATTTCACTCTGGCAACCAGTGCCATCCTGGCAGCACGGGTACTTCCCGGGGCTGAGAGAACCAGCATGCTGAGCAAGGCCACCCTCAGCGTTTGCGGGGCACTGATCGGGGGCCAGGCCCGGGCAATGTGCTCTGAGACCAAATGGACCACATCACGCCCTACCTTCTAGAGGTCTGTCTCCCTTCTGTGAGGGGACAGTTGTTATCAACCTCATGAAACCATGCCAGACCTCTGCCTCCTCTCCACTCTGATATACCATGTCACGGCGAAACAGATGGCGCCAACCAGACAAATCTGTGGCCAAATCTCTGGTCCAACCAGACATCAACAGAGCCCCACTGCTCTCTCTGAGCCAACAGAAGATTCCTCTCAGGGATGTTCCCTCTGAAAAGGTCGGGTCATTGAATTAATTTCCCACTGTCCCACTAAAAACAGGACAAATTAATGCCGGGGAATTCTAGCTACAGGAAAGGAAAATGTGCTACCTGAAAGAATTCTGGCATCTGCTGAGCAGAACACTCTACTGAAAGGGTGATGGCCCGGGTACTCTGAACTCTGAAGGGATGAGCATGATCACAGTGAATAGGAAAAGCACTCCCATTTCAAATTTCCTTTTTTTATTCTAAATAAAAACCACACTTTGTGCCGAACAATGGAATATAAAAGAATCAGATGTACAACGATTTTAGACATCTACTATTTGGGAAAAAAAGTTTACAAAATATACAAAACTTTACAGCAATAGATAGTAAACACTTAAATATTAGGAGGTCAGTACTTATTAATTTAATGGAAGGAGTTAGACGTCAACAACTCTTCTCAGATTCGTTAAGAGACTTGAGCTAGTAGAGGGGCAGGGAGGGTGGACTGGACGGGGGAAGGGTGTTAAAAGAAACATCCAAATCAAAAGTTTCCTTTTTGTCCTGATGTTAAGTTTATGATGAGCAATCACATTGAAACAAACGCTGTGTGCCCTGCTTCCTAATTCATCCAGTGCAGGATTTCGGGAAAAGGATATGTGGGGACTCCCAGAGGGGCATATTTCTCCACATGGCCCACTTCCATGCCAACAAAATCAGTGTCCATCTACGAAGGAATTTAAATTCACTTCCAAAGTTGAGTAGTCTGGGGAGCAGGAGGGCACAGCAGGCAGCCAGAAGAGGAAGAAAACATCAGCAGCAAAACCTGATTGGGGAGAAGGTATTAAAGACAAAGGCTGTCCAAGAGATAAAAGGGTGTTGACAGATCAGAGGAAAGTCGAAAAGAATTTTTACCCATTTCCTGGCCCCCACCCCCACCTCCTTTCTTCCCAACTAGCCATGAACTATAGACACTCCATGGGGTCTTAAAATTTAGGACCAAATACCAGGGTAAGCAGAGCTTGCCAGCGGGCGCCGTGGCATCAGTGAGCCATCAGTGGGTCAGAGGAGTGCCAGGACACTGGCACTTCCTCTGGGCACAGCAGCCTCTGCCATTTAGTGTGCCATTAAAGTATCACCGTCTTCCCTTAGGGAAAAGTTGGGAATGGCCTCGTGCTTGCTTGCTTTAATGCTCTATGTAATTTCTAAACAAAGGGCTCTGCAAATCATGCAGCTGGTCCTGAGTACAGAACAAGAAGAGGGGAGGAGAAGGAGCAGAGAAGACGTTCAAAGGGCAGACAGAACCTCAGAACAGCACATGAGACAGCGCTAACCTGGGCTCCAGGGCAGAGAGGGCAACAAAACCCAATGAGCAGAAGGCTGAAAAAACTTAAAATTCAAAATATGAATACCTTCTACCAGGTATCCTTGAATGCCCTTTGCCATAAGCCATGATATAGTGTTTCAAATAAAGCAGTGCAGAAAAGGGTGAGCTGGAGGCAGAGGCAGCAAACACGACTGCAAAGGGAGGGTTGAGGTGTGAATACAGGGGACGCGCAGGGGAATGGGGTTTGGTCAATGAGCCTCATGAGCTACTGACCCTGCTACATGTCTGACTGGAACCAACCGGGCCACCCTGGTCAACCGCTGGGCCTCAGGAGGATCAGGGGGTGCAGTTTTTGTTTAGTGTTTCAGGGGCAAAGCTTCAAGGATTTGTTTTTTGGTTTACTGGCAAAAAGGGAAAACTTCACAGTTTCAGGTTAAGTACACAGACTACCCAGCATCCACGATGCCCTCTGTTAAGGAAAAGGGCTTCTCCAGCACACCGATCCACTCTCGGCTCCGTGGCTGCGTTCCAGTAAGTGCCCCAAATCCTGCCATTTGAAACTCGGTCCTCACCAACAACCTGGGAGAAACCGCTCTGGCTGCAAACACTTAGCAGATACTTGCCTGTAGTCTTTTATACACTTTCTTTCTTAAACTTCTGATGGTCAGTGTGGGAAGAAGGAAGCAGGCAATCAGGGATGGTAAGTCTCAGCACTGCTTTCCCAGCAAGAATGTCCCAAGGGAACACTTAACAAGTTGGCTTCAGATAGTGGAAGTGGCCACTTGCACAAGTCCCATCGTGCAAGGGTCACCTCACCAGAGGGCCGGCACTCCAACCTGGAGGCTTTATCAATCGAGGGCTGGGGACAGAGGCAGCAGGTTCAACAAGGACAGAGCTTTGGTTTGCCTGTTTGTCCCAGCCAGCTTCCTAAGTTTAGGAAGGATGAGAAAATATGCAAAAAGGTCCTTTACGTGGCTTGATCCCCTCACCCATCCCCAATCTACTCAATCACAGGACAGAAGGGGGATGAAAGGCTTAGGGATTTAACAAACCTCAACTTTCCAGACCTTATGCCATTATCTAAAGGGTTTCCTGGGTTTATTCTGCAAGACTGCCTGGAAAGAAAGAAAAGAATTTGCTTGTTTAAAGGTGTGACCTGTTCTCCCCTAGTTCTAGCCGCTGTTTCCCAAATCTCTCACCAGGACTGTCTCCTGGAATAGGGCTACCTACTGGGAGAAGCTCATTTTCCTGAAGTCTCTTATCCAAAAGAGATGCTGGGTAATATGTATATAAAACCAAAAATAAATAAATATTATGTCCAAAAAAGGCTTTGTGAGTCAATTAAAACCACTTGCTTGTGAAACAGCCCGGGTGCTGCTGAGTCCCACCTGGGCAGCGTCAGGGCTGAGGCCAGGGACTCCCGGAGCTCGCCTGAGCAGGTGAGGTAGTATGGGTTACTGAGGTGCTGCCTTGTGAGTATGCGAGATCCGAGGGCCCTCTCCCTCAAGCCTTCTTTGGGCAAGACCCCCTCAAAAGGCAACTAAGAACAGAGCCAACCAGCACCCCTGGACTGGGCAAGACCCGTTGCCCAGCCACCCAGGGAGGGCCTGAAGCAGCTGTCAGCAACTAGCGCCCCCTGGTGGCGATGCAATGACAGGTGAGGATAAATTCCAGCAGGACAAAGGTGAGCTGCCAAAGCTCTGGCCCAGTTAGCACAAAGTAAACAACAGGTTACCCGACTGGGGCAGACAGAACGCACATCCTGCTACATACCACTAGTTACTCGGGTCCCTTAGTCCTGAAGGGCTCACAGTCCACCACTCCACCACTTCATGGGGTCTTCTCATCTACACTATAGGCCAAACACAATTCGAGGTGGGAGACTGGATGTAAACTAAGGCAAGGCTGCTGCTGTCAGACATCCCCACCTCTCCCCCAGGAAACTCACAGTTGATGGAGGTGGCCGGATGACAGATGACTACATCAAAGTGGCCCCCTGTCCTCTCTGCCCCACAGGGAAGGCCTGACGTCCTGGGCCATCGCTCCATAAAATCACGTCTCTTTGGAATTGAGGAGAAAAGAGTAACCTCCCTTCCTGTCCATCTAGACTGCCACTTCCGGCAGCACTGCAGGACACCTCTTCTGGCTGGCAAGGATTCATCCCAAAGCTTTCTGACCTAAATGGAAAGCTTTGTCCCCAGTTGGGATCTAGCTGCCAAGAGACCTCACTATCCAATCAGCAGATCAGAGCCATGGAACAAGCAGGTCCCTCCATCCCTGACACCTTTTCCCTGCTGAGGGCTGCGACTGGAGCCGGAGGTGAGCTGCTCTGCTGACTAGGCTTTCCTGAATGACCACACTCCCAAAATCTCTCTCATAGCTGGTTGTCCCGGTCGGAGGTCTGGCAGTAACACCCACCGTGAAGACCTCTCTCCACCTCCTCTATTCAGTGAGGCTGTTGGTTGGATTCTTAGCAGCATAAAACCTATCAGTAAACTAAAACTCAGGAGGCTGGGGAAGGGGATCTACTTGATACCAACTGCCTGACGAGATCCCAAAACCAGCCTCAAAAGAATCAAAAACACAGCCCTGCATGGGCAGGAACAGGTAAGGAGGTAAACATGATAGGGCCGTCGCTTCTCAAAAACAGTAACAGTGTTCATGTGCTATTTCTTCTTTTTTTCTCCTTTAAACACAGGACAGAACAGGACTCCTAGCAAGGCAAAACCGAAACTTCGGCTCGGGAAGGACCAACAGCCATCAGAAAACTAACGTCCTGGCTGCTGCCTGGGAGCGCCCCCTGGCTCTGCGGGGACCCAGTCAGCTGTCCGGGTTCTTCTCGGCCTCTTTGGAATGGATAATGTACATGAAGGTCTGCTCGATGGTGAAGTCAGGCGGGAGGCTGCCTTTGTGCACGCCGACGTGCTTGCTCATGAGGTTAAGCGTGGAGCTGTAGTGGCCACAGACCGTGCAGCGATACATGAGGGCCCCCGAGTGCGTCTTCAGGTGGCACTTGATGGTCGAGCGGCCTCGGAAGAACTTGTGGCACACCTTACACTGGTACGGCTTCTCGCCCGTGTGGATCCGCCGGTGGTAGTTGAACTCACTTGTGTGGGCAAATCTTTTGCCACACACCTTGCAGCTGTACTTGCTATTCCCGGGTTGGCCCTGCAGCGCCAACTCCTCACTCAGGAACTCTTCTGCTGGCAGCTTCCGCTTCTGGAGAGCTGGGTGCTGTAGCCCAAAACCAGGCCGCGCATCAAGGCCGCTGTTGCATTTGTGCTGGCTCACGTGGTAGCGATAGGCAGCCTCCGACTTGAAGCTCTGGCTGCACAAGTGGCAGCGGAAGAGGGCGTCTTCCAGGCTTTGGTGCACAGCCATGTGCTTCTCCAGGAGATGCCAGTCCACAAAGCTGTTTGCACAGACGGAGCAGGAGAAGACCGAGATGCCGAGATGGGAGAGTGTGTGCCACATGAGGCTGCAGAGGTTGAGGTGGCGCTGGTCACAGACACTGCAGGCCTGGCCCTTCAGGTTCAGGTGGTCAAGGATGTGGCCCCGGACCACGTGGAAATCTCTGGCCAATGCCTTCCCACAGGCAGCACATTTCAACTCTGCAGAGGCTGCTCCTGCAAACAGACCCAGCTTCCCAGGCAGAGGGTCGCTGGGGTGGACGATGATGTTGTTCTCAAATATCCCGTCCCGTCGGTGGAGGGTCAGCTGCCACTGGGTAAAGAACTTAGTTTCACACATGTCGCAGGAGAAGAGGAAAATACCGATGTGGGACAGAACATGGGTCACCCGGGAGTTCCGGTCCTGGAAGTGTGTCTCGCAGACCTTGCAGTTGCCAGTCAGCAGGTCCACATGGTCCCGAGCATGCTGGCGGATGAGCTGAATGTTGGGCTCTAGAACTTTCTTGCACACTTGGCAGGGCATGGCCTTACTCTCTCGGTTGTCATTCTCTCCGAAAGTCAGCTCGTCCTCACTGTCGTCACTCAATTCAATCACCTCCTCAGCTGTGCCTATCTCCTCAGTGGGGTCTTCAAACTGCAAGTCGTCGTCCCCCAGGTCCTCCAGCTGGAGCTCATCCATCTGCCCAAAGCTGGGGTCTTTGGAGTGGTCGCTATTGCTCAGACAGGAGTTGGTCCCAGTGGTAATATCTATTGCATTGTCAGGGGTAAAGAAGCTGTTTTTACTAAAGTCTCCATTGCTCTGGACTTTGTATGGCTGGCAGGAGCTTGTGCTGGTTTGGATGCCCATGCTGACAGTGCCCAGGACTGGCTGGGTCGCCATACTGGGGACAGACGTGAAAGGAGCAGGGGCATCGTGGTCTTCTGTCTTTGGCGGCAGTGGCTGCTGCGGCAGAGGCAGGCTATGGTTAGTGTCACTGGTAACGTTTCTCTCTTCCTCTTTATAGCTTCCTCCAGCATCACCAGGCAACACATAGTTTCTATCAGGACCAAAGTGCTCCCCACCACCCCGGAGTTCTCCAAGGGGATGGGTGGGTTCTGCTGAGCTACAACTCAGGGTACCAGAGTGGCTCTCACTGGTGCTGGTCAGCGGCTTGGCCATGGCAGTGGTCTCCAGGTCAGGAAAAGTGGAGTGACAGGCCCGAAGGAGATCCTCCATACCCAGACGCTCAGCGACCTCATAGATGACCCCAACGTTGATCAGGTCCGTGAAGAGCTCTGACGTGTAAACAAAGCTCAGAATCTTCTCAAAGTTGGCGGGGGTGATGAAGTCCACCACATAGGTCCTGGCAGCATCAAGCCCAGTGTTCAGGAAGAGGTTCTGGAAGTAGCCAGCCGCACAGGCTAGCACGGCTTTGTGGGCCGGGAAGGAGCGGCTCCCCACCACGATGGTGACATCGCACATGGTCTCTGAGAGCCGGCACTTGTTGAGTTCCTTCAGCAGGTTGTTGGGGTGGTTGGTGCTTTGCAGTTTGATCCTCATGCCCATCTTAGCAGCTCCTATGATGTTGCCTCCTTATCAGCACGGTTAATCTGTGGACAGCAAAAGGAAAAGGTGGATGGCCAAACACATCCCCGCAGGTGAGGAGATCCACAGGAGGAAATGCCACCAGTCTGCGTGTTTCCAAGCTCTGCGTGGGGAGCAGCAGTGAATGCACAAACACCTGCTCCATTCTGCTGGGGGGAAGGACAGCAAAAGTGACGGGACAGTGACCTCGCTCCCTGCACATGCCCAGAGTAGTCACGACAAAATCCAAAAGTATTGGGGAAAAAACTGTCAGCTTGGTCTTTAAGAGTCAGTAAGAGAGTCTGTAGGCCTGGTTAGACAGAAGCTAGTGTCTTAAAGCCAAGCCAGAAGCATCCTCTCAGACAAAATCTTACACTTCTTTACCAGAGCAACTGGCTCAAATTTTTCTCAATAATTTCCTAATTTCCTCCTGAATACACGCTTTCCTATCTCATTGCGTATATTCTCTTCCCTTATGATGCCAAATGCCACACACACACTAGAACACAATTATCAAAGCGCCACTGGCTGCTGGGGAAAGGGAAAGGGTGCTCTGTCCTTTAGTTTCCTACCATTGCTATGTTCTTTCAGTCCCTCAATAAATCTCTCACTCATTCTTGAGTCCCCATCTCACTCTACCCATGCTACCTGCCTGCCCTCTTGTCTCCCCATAGCCCAGAGCTATTTAGAGACTGTTCTATCACATTCTCTGTGTGCTGTGAATGAAGTAAAAACACTCAGAACCCAAAGAAGTAAAGCAAAGCAGAACACAACTGTGGTATTTAATATGACAAATACGCTTCCATTCTTTCTCCCACCCTTTTCAGGAATTATGCTTATTTGACCAGAACTAAGAGATTTACTTGATCTTGATTACACAGGTAACTCCTACAGGCTTGCTCAGTTCCACTTTTTCCCCCTTTTCGAGTCCTGCACGACGAAGGGGACAAGCTAGCTGGCTTCTCTTTCAGTCTCACGACTCGCCCTGTGCAACACAGCCCCTTTCTGCACCTCATCACGTTCGATTAACTCCCAACTTTTTCTGGGGCCCAGGAAGCTTCTGGGCATTGTTGGGTAGCAGCCAAGCATCTCCCGGGCCCTGGTGGTCACACATCAACGGTCAGCAGGTCGGGGCGCCGGGAAGCCTGAGCGGGGAGCGGTAGGGGACGGATTCGGAACTTCCGAGAAGGCACCCCAACAACCCCTGGCGCCGCAGTCTCCCCTCTGGAGGGTCGAATCCC